TGTGTGTGTGTGTGTGTGTGTGTGTGTGTGTGTGTGTGTGTGTGTGTGTGTGTGTGTTCATAATGAAGGAAGGAGACACACACACAGGTTCTTAATCTTTGAAGTGTCACTTTATTTTTCTCTTTGCCCTTTTTGAAAAAGTCACCATGACCCCAAACACTCTGGAAACTTTTCTCCTCTGCTAAAACCTTTTCCTTTCTTCTCTTTGTCCCCCCTTAGTTCACGTCCATCTCTTCCTCCCTCTTTGTGCTTGTGTTGCATTATAAATCATCCTGACACAAGCGCACTGGAAACAGAAAAAGGCAGAAAATCCACAAGTTTTTTATAGGTGGCATTTCAGGAAGAGAGAAAGCTAAGGATGAAACTGGGAGAAAGAGCGAATGGAAACTGGAAAAGCCAGTTTCTTCAGAAACAACAAAACTATATTTTTATATACTTTTCACAGTGTTGTGGTATACTAGTAGTGATGATCACCATGTGATACTATTGTGCTGATTGTGGAAGCATAATATTGTTTTTCTCTTTTGAGAATTTTTGTTTTTATAAACTTTTGTACATTTCTTGTTTCAGAGTTTTCAGAAAAAACATTTCAATGTGCTGTTTATTTTGCAATTAATATTACAATATTTTTAAATGCCATGAATAATCATGTATGTCATATGATAATTTCACAGTTATAAAATAGTTTGAGCTTGATAAAATGTCCAAATCTTGAGAAAATAAACAAAAATTCCAACTTAATTTTTAAAATGATTACTGCAATTATTATGAGCTAAAAATATATTCAATAAAAAGTCAAAATGGCACTTATATTTGTTTAACCAGTCCTCTCACCTTTCAGGCCCTCCTGTCCCACCTCAAAGTGTATGTGTCACCAAAAGGTCATCGAAAATCAAGTCATCCTCCATCCTGTTTCGCTTTAACTGCTCCTGGTTCAGCGACACCAACGGAGCCGTCCGATACTTCACCGTGATCGTGGCCGAGTCTGATGGTACAAACACACCAACACATGTTTACATTACTTTGACTTACATTCATTTCCAGACAGACAAACTGGAGGTAGACACGTTTTTTTGTCTCTTCTGACAGCCAATGAAATGCTGCAGCCAGAACAGCGCCACCCACTGCCCTCATACCGCGACTACATCAGCAACTCATCCGTCAGAGCCTATCAGACTGCCTACTTCCCCAGCCGCTGTCCACAGGACACTGAGAGTTCTGCTGGGCAGGTAATCTGCAAATTACATGTTGAAATAGATCTTTTTCTAACTTTTCTAAAAATGCAAACAAAATATTTGTTTTCTGTAGACTTGACATAAACAACCAAACCTTTAGTCATTATAAAGGTGCTGATTAAACTCAAGATTCTGATCTTCACGAAGAACATTTTTATTTATTGTTTATTTGCATAATTAAAATTTAAGACATTAGAATTAAAATATTTAATTTTATTACATTTTTTAAGATAATTTTTAAAAAAGTGAAGAAGTTAAAAAAATGATCACAGTCACCCTCTGAATAAGAACTGTGCTGGTTGTATATCTGTCAATATATTAATGTGGTCAATCAATACCTGATCAGGTGGTGGAGGTGAACCTGGGCGCAGGAGGAGACCGGTTGGGGGGATCCTGTGATCATTACCATGACGGTGACCTCTATCTGAGTGACAGCTACGGTGCCTTCTGTGACGGGCCACTGAAAGCCAAAACATCATACAGGTAATGAGAAACTGATGCTGCTGAAGTGCCACTGAGCACAGAAACACCTCCCCTCAGCTACTGACCGTGTATGTGTGTGTGTGTGTCTGCTCGCGCAGGCTAAGCGTGCGAGCCTTCACCCGACTGTTTGACGAGAACCACAGAGAGTTTTCTCAGCCACTCTTCACTGACACTTACCTGTCAGAGCCACTCCGGACGCACGCAGGTGAGACGGCCGACCATTTTCACTGATGATTAAAGATTTTATTCTTTTTCTTTAAAAAATCTTACCTGAGTTTAACCAAACCTAACTTTTCCGTAAACTAAGGATAGCAATGAGTAGAATTAATGAATTTTTGGGACCATCTCATCTAAATTTTTAAAAATTTGTCTTTGAGTTTTGACGCATTAATATGACACAGATGTTTTATCTACACCTTCCACTCAAGGGCACATGAAGTAAAAGCTGAAACATCACAGCTGGTCTGTCTAACCTCAGCTATCTCCCGATATGTGTTGTTCTTTGTCAGAGCCTCTAGGTGGTGTGGTGGAGGGTCTGAGTGCTGGCATGTTCCTCATTGGTATGATGGTGGCAGTCGTCTCTCTGCTGGCCTACAGACAGAGGCTACGCAAAGTGTGAGTACACTAGGCGTTCTGCTTGTAGTTACCTCAAGGACGCTTGGAAGTGTAAGATCAGCCAAAACATGTGCTGCTCATTTCCTGCTCTTTAATCTGAAACTCCACTACGGGAGCTTTGAATGAGTCAGTGTTTGGGAGTTTAAAACACAGCTGTGTATTTGAATGATTTTCAAATTAAATCATCTAGGTTTTTTTCTCTTAGAGATTTATGAAGGTGCTGAACTCCAGTTGGTCATGTTAGCGCATCCTTTCCCTGCTCACAGTTTCACGTTGAGTGCACTTTCTCACACACGGAGTGGAGCAGAGATAGACACAGAGGGGAAATATTAATATAACAACAGATTACATAATCTTCAAAACAAATATTAAACCGATCAGAACAAAGCGGGAAAGCCAGAGTTTGTAGTCAAGTTAAAAACAAAGTGAAATATAGGAAAAGTTGTTGATGAAGCCGGATTAGGCTGAGATCCAAACACTGGATTGCTGGCTTCTACCGTTTTCAAACACTTACTTCATTATTTGAACCTGTGGTCATGTGGGGCGATCGTGGCTCAAGAGTTGGGAGTTCGCCTTGTAATCGGAAGGTTGCCGGTTCGAGCCCCGGCTTGGACAGTCTTGGTCGTTGTGTCCTTGGGCAAGACACTTCACCCGTTGCCTACTGGTGGTGGTCAGAGGGCCCGGTGGTGCCAGTGTCCGGCAGCCTCGCCTCTGTCAGTGCTCCCCAGGGTGGCTGTGGCTACAATGTAGCTTGCCATCACCAGTGTGTGAATGGGTGGATGACTGGATATGTAAAGCGCTTTGGGGTCCTTAGGGACTAGTAAAGCGCTATATAAATACAGACCATTTACCATCATGTTTGTTTGGACCATCTGACAGTTTAAGATTGTGCAAAGAAAAAGGAGAATATAATTTGGCTAAGTTTAAAAGTTTTTCTATTTCAGACTAAGAACAGAATAGTAAACTTTTTTTTAACTACAGCTTAGAGTTTTTTTTACCTTTAAGTTGAATCTGTTCTTCTGTTTGCAGATTTCCTCTTGTATAAGTCAAAATGATGGACACTTTAACAGCTTTTTAAAGCATATCTGAGATAACACACATTTCTTTTTTAATACTACACCATCAATGCCACTAACTCTGGATGGGGCGTTGTCTCTGTGGCATCAGTGTGAAATTTCCGACTGGCTTCATGACTTTATGTAACATTTATGGCCCCACAACAGAGCCCTGAACAGAAAATTAGCTCCAAAATGTCACATCAGTTTTCTCACAGTCATTTAGCTGTTAAGCTAATTTACAGAGTTAATTAGTTGTGATTTGGTGAACATGTTTATTAGCGTAGAGGGCACGGCTCAAATGTTTTCATTGGTTTAACTCTTTGATCTTAATGTTCCTAATCAGTGCTGATATTTTCTGTGTAGGGCTGTGCAGGAGAACCCGGTGGTGAGGATGAGCATGTGGAAAGAAGTTCCAACTTCAGGGATGTATATGGGCGTCCGGAGGTAAGTTTGTGCGCACGGCACATCTATAATTATTCTTCTTCAGTACGTGAGAGAGGGAGAGATTAGTTTCCAACACCTCCCACGTCCAATATGTGAGTGTGTGAAGAAGAATTAGTTTCCAATAAAGTGCTCGCTCCCTCTCTCAGATTACCTCATCATTCACCCACCACAGGCCGCAGCATCTGTTAATTAGTGTGTGTGTGTGTGTGTGTGTCTGCATACATTTGTATATTGGCCACAGCTCATCAACCACAAATGTAACAGAGCGTAGAAACAAAGCTTCTCTGTGCTTCATAAATGACCCCAGCTTACAGTTACAGCGTGTTTTTTAACTGGACATAAAGACGATGCTCTTCTGCGTTTGCTGGTAGCAGTGATTATCAGATCTCAAATTCACTTGGAAACAAATCGCAGATGAAAAATTCCTGCATTATTTAGGCCAGAACCGACCAGAGGGTCCAATTCAGCTTACGGGACAGCTTTGCAAGGCGTGTAAATTGCAGTAATGTGATTAGACGCAAGTGTTTTAAACCCAACGAATGTGTAAAAATAGGCTGTTGTTGTGGTATCTTTCATATTACACGTCTGTCAGACATCTCAGCCTGTCCATCATTCTGTCACAGGATAGGCCAGCCCACCTCAGCTTGTGGGCCATGAATTAAAATGACTTTAAGGTCACAAATGTAAGGTTTTCTTTGACTGAGTATATGAGATGTTTTAAGTGTTGATTGAACCAGCTAAGTTATAGATGATTAAATTAAACCCCACTTTTGCATAAAATCACAGTCAATGACATTTTAGAACAAGGGTGTCAAATGTAAGGCCCAGGGGCCAGAATTAGCACAACAAGGACTCCAATCCAGCTCGCTGGACTGTTTTAGAAAAAGAAAGCTCTAGGAGAGCATACATTTTGGACTGTTACATGCAGCTTTTTCTTTGATAAAGACTTCACCAACACAATTAAGTAATAGATAAAGAATTAAATAATAGAGATGTTTTGACTGTCTACTAGACTGGAAATATTGCTATAACAGAACCATATTGTATTCCTCTTACTGCATAATGTTACAAGAGGCGATAAAACTATACATAATGTATCATTTTCACTCCTGTATTATGTTTGTGTTACTGTCTAGTTGATTACCCACCTTTATAAACCAACCTATGTTTCACCACCTTATTGTACTGTCACATGAATTAATTCAATTTTTTAATCTTCTGTTGCAGTAACCGTCGGATCACCAGGTGAGAGTTTAGGCTTTATTTCTGAAACTTTGTATGTAATTAATTTGTTGAAATGGCTAAAAATCACCACTCTACCTCCAGTATATACCTTTTGCTGAGTATTTGTCTATCTTTCTCTGTTCAGTCCTATCAAAGCGGCCCATTTCGAGTCGCATCTGACCAAGCTGCAGGCCGACTCCAACTACTTGCTTTCTGAAGAGTTTGAGGTAAGTGTATGAAAATTATTACAAAAGTGTGTTCAAGAACCTGATCAATCATACTATTTGTTTGTTGGGCATGTCTTCAGTTTTCATTTGGAGTGTTAAATCTCAGGAAGACAGAAAGACACACTGTTTCTTTTACCAGAGGTTTTGCATATTAATAATATTAAATCACTGTTGTAGCAGCCCCTGGCATTAAGAATGACAGAAGAGTCTCTAACGGGTGCAGCCATTTATTTCCTCACCAAACACGGCTCACTCTCTTGACATCATTGAGCACCTTTAAAACTATAAAATAAGGAAAAATTAATACCCACACAGTCCCTTTGACTGTGTGGGTATTAATAACAACAAATGAACTTAAATTAAATCAGGTAAATTAAAAAAAAACAAGTACTTCTGTGATATACAGTCACTGATAAAATAAAACAAAATAGGTCTTTTAAACTGCATCAAAGTGCTTCACAGTTCAGTTGAATAACATCAGATCACTCTGTTGGAATAACTCTGGGTTTTGGATACCCATCTTACACTCAAAAACCTTGAAAGTCTTCCAATTGTGTACCAACTTCACAGCAAATCAAACTGCTTGTTCTGGGCTCATGCTTATGCCAGTTGGTTGTTGGTTTGACTTGCCTGCCTTTTCAGAACAATTTTGCTTTTCAATCATTGCTTCTCTGAAACTTAAAGGTCAAGTAATGTACCATGACTCTGATGAGGAATGGCACTGCTTTTCTTCAAAAGCAGATTTTGGCTGGTCTTGTTAGTCACAAAGTCCTGATGTTTATAACTGTACAAATGTAATTATTCTCATCTCTGTTCAGGATCTGAAGGATGTCGGCCGTAACCAGACGATGGATGTCGCCCGAGTGCCGGAAAACCGAGGAAAGAACCGCTACAACAACATCCTGCCATGTAAGTGCAGTTTTTAGCTTTAAAGCTTTTTTGCTTCTCAAAAACTTAAAAAGAAAAAAGAAAAAAAAACAGTCACTCCACATAACAGTTAGCTGACAACCCTTCAAGTCCCTCAGTGAGAAAGAAAAATAAATCAAAGTGGAAATCATGGCAATTATCACATCGTCAAGAGCTTTAATGAGGCAGCACCTGTTCCCTTGGTGACAAGGATGAACTCTGAGGCTTGAGGTGATAAAAGCCTTCATAATTACACAATACTACTGAAAATACAGCATCTATATGGAATATTTACTCATTTAATTAGCTTTTTGTTTCCATTTCTTAGCCACCCAAGCAGATTGTCCTCTATATTATTTATTATCCACACGTCACAAAATAGTTTCGCATAGCATCTTTTTTCCAACCAGCAGATTAAAAACTATAAAATGGTATGTCCTCCAACCAGTTGATCAGCTGATACCAACAACTGGCCAAATTTAATTGATCTTAAAGTTTCAGCCCTCGTATCCGAGTCCAGTTTAATGAATTTGCATAACTGAATTTTTGCTCATTCAAAGGTGGTGTGATGATGGGCTGAAAAACAGCTAAATTATATTAAGGATGGATTGATTAAAAAAAAAGAAAGAAAGAAAAAGAAAGGAGCGGTTTTAAATAATGACACGGAATCTGAATTTCCTTGAATGACGCAATCTTTACTCAGGTAACAATAACATTTGCTTGAAATAGCACAAAAGAGTTGATTTTTTAATTGTTATTACTCAATTAATGAATCATCTGTGAAATGTAATGTTTAAAATTATGATACATCTGTGAAACTGTTTTCTGTCTGCGTCGTTGGGGATGATGCCAAATTAGTTTTAAATGTCTGAAATGTTAGTTCATTGATTTTTTGCTATGGGAGTGATATACAGACAGATTTCTAATCACATGAAGATTGTTTGGTACATCTGTTTTACGCAATTATAAATGTAATTTCCACATCCACAATTTGTCATTTTCAAAGTTTTTCCTTCTGAAGTATCCTCAGTTTAAAATAAAGTAATTAAGCATCCGTTATTTTTAACTGCAAAAAAATCAGATTTATGACTTGAGGTGCCACATTTACAACATCACCTCTATAATTAACTGTCAGAGAAGTAAACACACTTACACCACACACACACACACACACACACACACACTCACTCTCTCTCTCTCTCTCTCAGTGAAATGAGTCATTACTGAGTCTGTTTTGCATTCACACATCTTTCACATTCAATAATAAGAACCTCAGGAAAGCTGTGAGAGACGCTGTTTTCATTACTTATTCTGGAGTGGATGTGTTAGAATTTCACCATCAGACATAAACTGCATCCTTTACCCTATGGTGAAACATTAATGTGACCATATTGATTAAACTATAAGGAATCTGCGCTTATTGCTTTTACAAATATGCCCTCAGTAGCTCAAAATGATGGTTGCTTCTTCACTAAGTAGACTGATAGAAATTTAATTGGGCAATTTTCATAATTGTTCGTTTTTGGCTGGTTTAAGGTTAAATGTGCGAATCTGATGTTTAGTATTATTGCAAAGCTGCAATAAGATGATATAAATTTTATTAAAATTGCAAGAAAAAAATAAGAATAACTGAATGACTGAGAGCATCAGTTAAACCTGTTTTAATCCAAAATTTTTAATGTTATCCAAAAACTGGCAAACAATTTTTAATAAATATTAATAAATATTAATTTATCCCTGATTTTTCCTCTCAAGACTACCACACTACCACTACCAAACTGATTGGCCTTTTTTCTATATACTGACAGTTTAATAAAGGTTAACTGATAAAAAAAAATTGAAAAAAGACATTTTAGTGAAACTTCTACAATGATGAAACACAGAAAACAAGAAACAAGAAAACTTTAGCAATACTTCAGAGTCAGAGTCTGGCTGTCGCCCTGTGGTGCTTTTATAGCCTTCACACTTTTAGTTCTGGGTGTTCAAACTGATTTTAGGTAAATGACTACTTAATAAATAACCTCTAAAAGTGCCCAGCTCAGCAGCAAACAGCAGACAGTTACAGCTTTTGAAGAAAGAGAAACCTTAAGAAGCTAAAAACCCAGAAATTATTTATAAGAACAGGTGGAGACCAAAAATGGAGCTAAAACGCCTTATGGTTACGTTGCTCTGTGGATGCTGGATGTAGTGGGAGGAATTCAGTCAACATTTATTAAACCAGTTCAGTACTCATTGCATTAGAGTTAGTTTAAACTACACGTTAAAGATAATGAAAGCCGCTGGTGACTTATTTCTTCATTTTTCTAGATGATTCTACCCGAGTGAAGCTGTCGTACCTGGAGGACGACCCCTGCTCCGATTACATCAACGCCAGCTACATACCTGTATGAGCACATGCTAAAAAGCACAAACTGAGCACACTCACTGACAATGACACTAATACCGCCTCTCTTGCCTACATGTGCAGGGTAATAACTACCGCAGGGAGTACATTGCCAGCCAGGGGCCGCTCCCGGGCACAAAAGATGATTTCTGGCGGATGGTGTGGGAGCACGGCGTCTACAACATCATCATGGTGACCCAGTGTGTGGAGAAAGGACGGGTGAGGCGTCCGCTTGATCAAAATGTCCACCTGAGTGGAACCATTATGAAACTGAAATTATGAGCTTTGATTGCAAGCTGAAAAGAGCTCCAGATTCTTCTCACAGGTTAGCAAAGGAAGATAAACTCAACCCTGAGAAGTAATTAAACTATATGAATGCTGTGTTTCCAGGTGAAGTGTGACCAGTACTGGCCTGCAGACAGAGAGCCTCTGTACTACGGTGATCTGGTCATTCAGATGCTGTCAGAGTCTGTCCTGCCTGAGTGGACCATCCGAGAGTTCAAGATCACCTCGGTATGTTTCTTTTTACTCTCGTTTTTTATTCCAGCGTAAAAATGTAGAAAAGCAGTAATATCTAAAGAATGAAGAAGGGATATACTTATTGTGAAGCTTTCATTTTCATAACTTCTCCAAATAAAGCTCATGTGATAAACATGGCCAAACAATGTCTGTAAAGTTGCAGAGATTTGAGGTTTTAAGGGGATATCCTTATACAGTATGTTTATCTCTGTGACAGAGAGTCCACCCACCTGCTGTACAAATATCTGTTAAAAGGGGAGGAGCTAACCTCCATGAAACCACCCTTGTTTCATGGAGAGGGTGAATCGAGAGGCTACAGAAGGATTATTCTGATTATTTCTGCATGTTTTTGGTGTGGCCATGAAAAAGTTGATTTCCACTATGTTATGTTGAAACGTTATGTCGTTATGTTACATTATATCTAAAGCCTCAAAATCCAGACCTTGAATGTCGCTATGGGTGATAACAATCCTAATAAATCCATTATTGACCTGGACAGGAGAGCAGCTGCAGTTATCCTCGGGTACTGCGTCACTTCCACTACACGGTGTGGCCTGATCACGGCGTCCCTGAGAGCACCCAGTCCCTGATCCAGTTTGTCAGGACAGCCCGGGACTATGTGGACCGATCGCCCAGCACCGGAGCCACCGTCGTTCACTGCAGGTAGATGCTTGAGGCTGTCCTCAGGGAGAAATCTGATTGGCTGTGAGTTAACAGAATCCCGCCATTAGAACCCCCCCCCCCAAAAAAGTGAACTATTGAGTCCTTGAACCTTCTTTGATTCTCTGTTTAAGATCATTGATAACTGGATGTTTTTGCTTGTTAGTGCTGGAGTCGGGCGCACAGGGACCTTCATTGCTTTGGATCGGGTTCTGCAGCAGCTGGACTCCAAAGGAACCATCGACCTTTACGGCTGTGTGTTCGACCTCCGCCTGCACCGCCAGCACATGGTCCAGACTGAGGTAAGAGCTACATTCAAATATTTAAGTATTTAGCTTTGAATTCTAGGACATTCGTTTGATTATTTGATTTCAACTTGTACACCAGACATTTCTCCCACTTAGACCAGTGATTGTAGCACTTCAGTTCATCTCATTATGTTTAGCAGGTATTTTAGTCATTATTTCAATTTTACTTATTAGAATATGATTAAGGATAGTCCCACATGGAAGCAAAGGCAAACAACAATAGACTTTGAAATAAACCAGTCGCAAAAAAACAAATAATTGGAAGAAAAGAAACCAGATTTTATTGGCTTTTGATAAATCTGCATGGTTTATGGTAATACATCATTAAAACTGAAACTATTAGACAAGAAACATCAGGAAATATTGACCTAATCTAGAATTTAACTACCAATAAAGATTTAGAAATAGGATGTTATCCTCCTTTTTAGTAAATATTGAATGCAAATTGGTTTTGAAAAAACAGTTTATGATGACGTTACCACACCCAAACCAGTTTGTAGCAAATCAAAAAAAAATACTATTGTACATAAAAAACAAGTTCAAGTATTAATATTACAATGAGAATTTTAGACTAAACTGGAGCTACATCATTAAAACGTGAGAAAAAATTAACAATGGAAGCTATCAAATATGGTAGTCTGAAAATTCTACCAATTACTGTCGTTATAATACTAAATTGTCAATCTTGATCAAACCTGGATCAAACAAATAAAGGCAAGGCAAGTTTATTTATATAGCACAATTCAACAACAAGGTGATTCAAAGTGCTTTACAGAGACATTAAAAACAAAAACAAATAAAAAGCATGATTTAAAATGTGTGTTGGCCCTGCGACAGACTGGCGACCTGTCCAGGGTGTACCCCGCCTCTCGCCCCATGACAGCTGGGATAGGCTCCAGCGCCCCCCCGCGACCCTGGAAAGGATAAGCGGAAGCGAATGGATGGATGGATGGATGGATTTAAAATTAATAAAAAACAAACAAAAAAAAAGCAAAACAGTAGATAAAATCAGAACAGTAGATATCAGCAGTTAAAATTTAAGTTTTGAAATTTAAGCTTAAAAGTGTGGATTTGGTGTTTTATTCAAATGCAGTTGAGAACAGGTGAGTCTTCAACCTGGATTTAAATAAACTGAGTGTTTCAACTGATCTGAGGCTTTCTGGGAGTTTGTTCCAGATATAAGAAGCATAAAAGCTGAATGCAGCTTCTCCGTGTCTGGTTCTGACTGGGAACTGATAAAAAAAAAACGGATCCAGATGACCTGAGGGAAAGGAAAGAAAAAAGAAAAAACAAAGCTGATTTAGTTTTAGATTTAGTCTTAATCATGTGTTTTAGTCAATTCAATTTTATTTGCTGACAAAAGGATCAATAGTATTTTGTCCTTTTGCATTAGTTTTTATTTTGTTATCATCGTGTTTTTGTCAGAAATAAAAAAGGTTATTGATGGAAACTGACAAATTATTGGTTAGTGAAATTAATGTCTGTGTTTTCCATGGGACATGAATGAATTCTGCAGTGAATGCTCTAAAAGCACCGGAAGGTGTTTATTACAACATTATAACGGTCTTGTTGCATTGCAGTGCCAGTATGCCTTCCTGTATCAGTGTATTCGGGATGTCCTAAGAGCCAGAAAGCATCGCAGCGAACAGGAGAACCCTCTCTACCCCATCTATGAAAATTTCAACCCTGAGTACTGCAGAGGTGAGACTGTTTCTAACATTTGTCATCGGAGCCCAGAAATGAAACAGTCCACCTGTGGACGTGAACTGTCCCATTTCTGTGTTTGACAGTTGAACTGAAACTGCATTTATATATTTCAGTAGAAACTGTGTATTTGTCTGCAGCACACATAAATCATAGTCATTTTTTCCCTTTTTTGTCCCTTTGTTTTCTCAGATTTCATTTACACTGGACGCTAAAGAGATGACGATGTTCATGCGATCAAAACGAGGAAACATTCCAACACAAGAAACGGACAAAACAGGGAATATAAATAAATAAGTCCAAGATTGTAAAAACCTTTTTTCAGGGCTGTAGGTCTTGCACTCTGAATCACTGGTTTTACAGCAACAAATTCATTGAGGAAAAGTAGAAATTAAAGTGCAGATTTGGGATTAAATAAAAACAAAGCACAAGACAAGTCGGAGGTTCTGGGTTTGTTGGCGCTGCAGGGAAGACTTTCGTAGCTAGAGCTGGTGATCAGCTGGTGATCAGCACAATCTGAGAAAAGTTTTTAAAATTTAGCAAATAACACCTCACAGACTTTCCACTAAATTTACAGTCTGATTTTATTCAACACAAGAATCCAAAACCATTAAAACATCTGACACTTATTATTTTTAACCATACGTTTATATATTTAAAAAAAGGATTGAATGATAATTGTGCAGCATATTATTATAATTATATAGTCATTTCTGTAATTTTGAATAAATCATCTTCCGTAAAGCTGTTTAAGAACTGTGAGTACCTGTTAAATAATCTGCATCTGAGCTCAGATTGGCATGCAAATTGGATTTCTTTCTTCTTTTTTTTTTCTAAATCCACCTGACAGTCCAGCAAAGTCCACCAGCTAAACATACTGGAACAGCTCAATTTACAGGACTGCTTTGACTCAAACCTACAGAGAGAAGGCACAAATGATCGATCAAATTCAGCCCTATCTGAATCCTAAATGTTAAAAAAATATATATAGTTTATTGTCAACAAAAACAACAAACTTTGAAAAATTAAATTGTTAAAAATGGATTTAAACTCATTGAAAAACATAGTGGAGTCCCTTTAATGTAGGCACTGGTTGATCTCAGGTTGTTGTGATCCAAATAATAACTGAGTGACAGCAGGGAAGGAAAGAGCCATCTATTTTTTATACCCTCCAGTATGTTCTCACTTACTGCTCCATATAAGCTGTTTATTTAAAAATTCTAAACACACATATTGCTGTATGTAAATATAGATGTAATACTCTTTTTTTTTTTCTTTTTTACAATATGATGAATATATATGTCTGTCAACAACTGCCTGGTTGTGTAATACTTCTGTTTCTCTTTTATACCTGTTGAGTAGCTGCAAGCAAACATAACCTGCTGTATTCAGACTTTAAAGAGGCTTTATTCTCTGTCATATATTTTATAATACAGCATTAGACATTCATGTTAAACGTGGCCAAAGTTTTAAATACTGAGGTATGCAAATGTAATCCCTGTAAAGAAAAGTACTTTTAGTACAGATCACAAGCTCCAAGTGCCGCCCCTCAACTGGCTTCTGAAAGCTGGCTAATCATAAGATAAGTTTTAAGAGAGGGGAGGGGCCTTAAAGTGACAGTAGCCTGTTTCTCAGAGGATTAAAAAAAATAATAGTAAAAATACTAGATATCACATTAAGCTACTTTACTAGCCTGAGAAGAAAGCTCTGGAGTTGGAAATGAGCACACTGATCTCCTCTTTAATGTAATTAATGCTTGTAAACCATTTAAACTTTAAACATAAAAGACTGAAGTATGAATACAATGCAGAAACCTCATGTTTTCTTAATAAAACCATCATTATAAATATTGTGAAAGAATTTGACTTTTGTGATTGTATACGTTTCTAGAAAAAGCAGAGATTTTTTTGCTGGAGGATTTTCATTTTAAATTACCTCTGCCCATGCAACATATTTTATTTTATAGTATTATGATATGGCATTTTACATTTACATTACATTTAAAATACTATGGCTAAATTCATTATTATGAAAGCTGGTCTGCACTTTTTCTTTTTTTTAAAGATTTTCTCTGATACATTCGACCTGCTGGATTGTTTTATGTAAACTTTATTATGTTTGTCATATCGTGATGGATTCATGAAAGTGATTTGGATTTAAATAACCAGGCCCTAAGAAAATGTGTAATTGAGTTTTAGAATTTGCTGTCCTGTTGTTGTAAACTTGATCATAAAGTGCTGAATAAAAATATCTGCCTCACTGTTTGTGGCCTTTTTTCTTTGGGTGAAAGGTTACAGTAGCTCATAAATATTATGCACACATTTTCAAATGCTGCTTAAATCATTCTCCATGTTTAACATTTTTAAGATAATGATATTTCAAATATATAGATATTTGAAATTTAAAATAAAAAAAACTTCATTAGAATTTCGAAATTCTTCCGAAGGGTGGCTGGCGTCTCCCTTAGAGATAGGGTGAGAAGTTCGGCCATTCGGGAGGGGCTCAGAGTAGAGCAGCTGTTGCTCACTTTGAAAGGAGTCATTTGAAGTGGTTTGGGCATCTGACAAGGATGGCTCCTGGGTGAGGTGTTCCAGGCATGTCCCACCGGGAGGAGGCCCCGGGGCAGACCCAGGACACGCTGGCCTGGAAACGCCTTGGTGTCCCCCCGGATAAGCTGGAGGAGGTGGCTGGGGAGAGGGAGGTCTGGGCTTCTCTGCTTGGGCTGCTGCCTCCACGACCCGGCCCCGAATAAGTGGAAAAATATGGTTGGATGGATAGAATTTTAGTTTTGCTTAAATTCAGTGATAATTTGTTTTTAGTAAATTCTTATGTGAATTTACTAAAAGCTGCTGTGAATTTTCTCCATGATAAAGATTATTTGTATCATTTGCAAATAAAATGAACCGCAATATATCTGATGATCTAGAGGTTTAGACCCCATATAACTCCACAAGCAAGGTTTAAAAGTTTGATTAATGTTCTCCCACCTTCATAAACTGTTGCCTGTTGTTTATGTAACTTTTCATCCAGTCCAACGCCACCCATCTAATACCATACATTTCCAATTTATCAATTAATATGTGATTGGCAAGTGTGTCAACAGCTTTCTTCAAGTCAATAAAGACTCCATGTGCATACGTTCTTTGACTGATACAATTTGTGATTTCTTCATTTAGTTCAATTAATGCATTAAACATTAATCAGTTTGACATAAATCCATGTCAACTCTCTATTAATAGTTTGTGTTCATTTAAATATTTATCCAGTCTATCAATAAAGTATTTCACTAGTGTTTGGGTGAATCGTGAGTGTAGAGAAACAGGCCTATTCATTTTGTTCGGAATTGTACCGCCTTATAATGACAGATTGCAAATGAAGGTTGGAGGTTTTTAAAATCATTCAATTACATTTTTAACAGTTTTCATATCAATACCATTTCAGTTAGTTGAGATTTTGTCCTGACATCTCTCTACAACATCAATTATTGTATTTTCCTCTTGTGCTGTTAGAAACATTTAATTAGGATTTTTCTTCTATTTGCTCCTCTGCTCTTTCTCAAAGCAGTAATTTTATCAGCTAGGTCTCATCTGAAACTTACAAAGAATTTATTAAAATCATCATTCACATTTCTTTAGGTCTGCACTTTATAAATTCTCTGTACAGGATATATTTCTTTTTACTGGCGTTTTGCAATATCTTTGGGATCCTTGGACTATCTATATAATCCATTTTTTTGTTTTTGTTTTTGTTTGATGATGTAGAAGAATTTGTTCAAAACAGGTACCAGAAAAAAACAATGAAAAAAATAGCAGGAATCCAAAATTGTCTGAACACAATTACTAAGAAACATAAATGTAAGCAAACAGACAAAGGCCTGACTGGGGCCCAGGCTTAAATACACACAGCAGGGTGACTGGGGCACAATGGAGATGCGTGAGATACACAATTGAAACTAATCAGGGAAAAGAAGATAGTGGAAGTGAAACTAAACACAACACAAACGAGATAAGAAACCATCAAAATAAAACCAGAAATAACTAAATCATAAGAACAACTTGCACAGAATTAGACTTTATGAGATATGGGAGAAACAGGATAAGCGGAAATATAACTCACAAAATCAAAAGTGCCAGGATCATGATATTTCTCTAGGGCTGGAACACATACTATGTCATTTTGCATTAGTAAAATGTTTATAAAGCTACTCATCAATGCCACCATTCTTACCTGTTTGTAGATTGTTTTGTTGTCCTGCTTTTCCTTCCTGTAATTACTGTAATTACCTCAAGGTGGTGTCGGACAGGCGGATGCTGTCCAAGATAAAAGACAATGTTGGATAACACCTCCCACCCACTCCATGACATGCTGGTCAGTCACAGGAGCACGTTCAGTGAGAGACTGAGATTACCGAAAAGCACCACTGAACGACACAGGAAACCTTTCCTGTCTGTGGCCATCTCCCTGTACAACACATCCACTTAACACACTGGTTACCAGTGTTGGGACTAACACGTTATTAAGTAACGCATTACAGTAACTACGTTATTATTGTGGTAACGAGCACGGTAACTAGTTATTATGCCAAAACCGGGAACGCGTTACTCGTTACTGGGATTTAGATAGGCTCGTTATTCGTTACTTCGTGTGGTGGCTATCGCGGAGCTTCCACAGATTCAATAACATTAGCAAGTGGTGGAAGCCAGCAGGTGGATGAAGGAAAAGGGAGGCAAGAGGAGAGACCCGAAGCGGCCGCTGGTCTGAGAGTGTCAGGTGAACTGAACTTCAGGTAAGAAGTTATAACCTGCAGCCCATCTGGGTCAGATATGAACCAAGTTTAGCTGGAGTTTATTTTCGTTATGCTAACTTTTTCGTACTACGTGCTAGCTAGCATGATGGAGTTTCTATACAGCTGGGTGGTGCTATGATGTTACTGATGTTGAACTTTATTTTGTTCATAAGGTTAATTATTAGAGTTGCCAAGCGTCCCGCAAAAAACGGAATTGTCTCGTATTCAGAGAAAATATTACGCGTTTCGTATTGTGGTGAAAAGGAACACAGTTTGTCCCGGACTTCAGCTACAATGAAAAAGACTTTTGTTTTTTCAATAGGAAGAGGGCCATGTGACACATCACACTTATTGGTAATGTCACAAGAAAAACAATAGTGTGCTTGGTTTCACGTGTTAACCTCTTCGACATGTCAATGGCTGTGAACAAAGAGAAACTTGTAAATAACTCATGAAAGAATAAAGTTACGTTGAAACCAAGCACACTATTGTTTTTCTTGTGACATTACCAATAAGTTTGATGTGTCACATGGCCCTCTTCCTATTGAAAAAACAAAAGTCGTATCCAAGATGGCCGACTTCTAAATGGCCACCATGGTCACCACCCAACTTGAGGAGTTTGCCCCCTCACATTTACTAATGTGCCACAAACAGGACTTTAATATCACCAACCGTTCACATTTATTACGGTGTATCCATATAAATGGCCCACCCTGTACTTGACTCAGAGTAGTTGAGACTGAATCATCCTCTAAGACTGAGCATCACTGTCCAAAGTTTCACATCAGTTAAAGACGTTATACAAT